AGTCTGGATAAGGATAAAGCTCTTAGGGAGTTTATCTCTATCTAACTGGGAGTCCAAGATAGGCATTGAGCCAGAGTCTATTGAAGCTAGGCTTCTAGAGGAATCAGGTTAGTGTTGGCTATAAAAATAAGGCACCCTCGTGGGTCTAAGGTACGCTTTTTGTATTCTGGCTAGTGAGTTAAAGCACTATTTGCTATCTTTGATAAATAATTGAGTACTGACTTGATCATCGGAGTGCCCTCGGGTGGAAGAACTACCGCTGGAGTCTTATCTTTTTGTGACAGGTCGTTCGGGCGCAGTCTATTCTGCCGGTATTCTCCAACTGAGTACCTGTTTGGCAGTGTGGTTAGAAATCAACACACACAATTACCATGAGCATCTTGGAGATGTTGCTTAAACTAAAGACTTGAGCATAACAGTCACTGTTGTGCAGTTAAATGGGTTTATTTTGGGATTTATTTTGATAATTTGAATCGTTCACATTTTACAATACATTAAGGAGAATATACTTATAAAAAATTAAGTTAATCGGATGTTGTTTATTTTTTCATCTACTCACATTTGTATTCATTTTAATATTTTAAATCACAATTGTTATCTATTTTTATAGATATAAATATGAGTGAATAAATAGATAAACGATATCTGACTAACTTAATTTTTTATATGTATTTTCTATTTGATATATTCTAAAATATAAACGTTTCAAATTATCAAAATATGTCCCGAAATAGACCATTTAACTGTACAACATTAACTACTGTGCACTTGCACAACAACCCCCAAATTCGGAAAAATAGGGAGAGAAAGGGCATTCCTCAGCGCATCTTCTTCTCAAGAGTTTACATGCAGCACATGGTGTGATAGTGTTCAAGATCGTCTCCTCCCCCATCTATCTATATATTACATAATGAAAGATAAAGTTTTAGGGAGAAACTTTTTATGAATTTCAAATTCTTGTTTTAAAATTATTAAAATTTTTTAATTTTAAATAATTAAGAAAATTATTATTGGTTAGCTTTCATTTATATTTTATTTTACAATTTCACATCGAAAAAAGAAAGAAAAAGCGAATTGTTTTAATTACATAAAGTGAATCTTATACTCTCATTTATATAAGCAAAATGAGATTTTTAGTGAGAGACGTGATAAACTATCAAAAACATCGAGACACGTGAAATAGTGCATATGTGTACATAAAGGCTATGAATCAAAAGCAGATTGAACAAACTAAAAATCCCAAACAAAGCATGTTTGGTACTCAAAGTGATGGAATTCAAAATACAAGCAAGTATAATCAAGAGCATGAATGGATTCGCAAATGGTAGTATACAAGCACAGCAAAGTTTGAAGTAAATAAAGAATCGAAACAAGGAGAGCAGTGACTTACCAAAAAAAATGGCGCCGGTGTGAGATTCGCCGAAGTCGGATGACGACGGTGAATTGAGCGGAGCAGTGAATGCTTCACTAGAAGGGATGAACGAAGGAAGTTGTAGAGCATGAGAGCTTGAAACAATGGACGATTTGGGAGATAAGTGTTAGAGAGAGAAAACATGGAAGAAAACGAAGATGCAAAGGTGAAAAGACGGAGAGAGGGAGAGAGGAGTTTTTGATTAAAACACGAAAATGCGGCAAAATCACAATTAGTGTGCCTAGGACGATGTGTCTGTCAGGCGGCGCACGCAGAAAACGACACGATTTGATGGCGCGTGTAAGGTACGGATCAATAAGGAAAAGACGCGTGGCAAAAATGGTTGAGATATCATGCATGACAGCTCATGTGCAGATGGAACTTTTGGAGTTCTTGATTTAATGAAGTAAAGACCTTGGCTTAGGGGACGATCTCGGTTAAAGAACTTGAAAAACTTGGTTCTTGGTTCTAAAGGCATTTGAGAAAGCACACTATAGTCTTGGTCATATGGAGCCAACGTGTGACGACCTCGGTAATGAAGGATAGAGCAGGTCTTAGCCGACATGCTATGTGATCAAGTGATATAGGTTCCATCACCTTAGGATGCCGAGGTAATAGAACCTAGGGGGTAGTTGTGGGGGCATATTTTTATGAATGACAACACGTGGCCAAGGTGGCACCGAAGTGCCAGCGGAGGTGCCACATGTCCTGGTCATGATGCCGAGATAATCTCGGCTAGGCCGAGGTTATCTGCGGAGATGTCGGGATCCGGGATAAGCGAATAAGTTATAAAAGTCCTAGAGTGGGGGAGGACTTTATCCTGGATAAGGATAAAGCTCTTAGGGAGTTTATGTTCATCTAACTGGGAGTCCAAGATAGGCATTGAAGTAGAGTCCAAAAGAAGCTAGGCTTCTACAGGGATCAGGACAGTGCTGACTATAAAAGTAAGGCAACGTCATGGGTCTAAGGTACGTTTTTGGTATTCTGGCTAGTGAGTTAAGCACTAATTATTATCTTTGAGAGATAACTGAGTATTAACTTGATCGTTGGAGGGCCCTTGGGTGGAAGAACCACCGCCAGAGTCTTTTCTTTCTGTGATAGGTCGTTCGGGCGTAATCTATTCTGCCGGTGTTCTCCAGCTGAGTACCTGTTTGGCAGTGTGGTCAGAAAACAGCACACGCAAGTGTGATTTTGTGAATTTGTTTTAAAATCAATGTTAAAACATTGTATGACACATATATTGAAGGTTTACCTGGTCCTTGCACTCTGGTGAATGGTGACTGTGGATTGTGTGAAGTAGACATAGAGAGCTAGCCTCTATCGCTTGTGGATTACCGCTTTCCCAAGTATTTTATAAGCCGATACCAATGGAGAATCAAAATCTTCAATCCATTGCAGTGCCCGAATTGTGCCTCTCCAAGTAACCAATATATCTCTTCTTCCCAAGGCAACCTTTCCTTGATCAGTAGCCACAACTACATATCTTATCCAATTCCATTCCTTGCAACAAGCTTCCATTGAGAATGGTTCCAACAGAAATTCTTCTGGAACATCAACACTTAATGTTGAATACAGATACTTGGTTGGTGTGTAATGATACGAGTTGCCAATTGCTAGACCAACTCTGGCAAACAGATTCTTCCTGGAATATCTGCTGCTTGCCATTTCGCCATAGTGAATGATATAACAACAAAGATCAATGTCAAGAGGGTCCAAGAGGTTTTTCCAATTGTCCTGCCCACTCAGCACCCTCCAACGTTGCGCTATGTTTTCTATCATTTCTCTTGATCAATCTATCAGCCAAACAAGTTAGTTTAAGGATCCAAAACTTAATTTCTTACATTTCTTGACATCATCATCATCATGTAAACCAACACTTCGATTGAGGGTGGCTTGTAGTACCAGTAATATAATCTCATATGAGCTTTTTGGTCTAACCACCCCCACTATCATGAATAACACACAATTACCAAGAGCACACATACATACGTATAGACAATTGACCAAAAACAGAGATGTACTCTCACAAACTAGTTTTTGCTTCCAAATTTGAGAAACTGCAATAACAACCTCCACTGCTGTTGTGTATTAGCAACTGTCAACAATGGAAATGTGATCATAAATATCAATTCATGCCCCAACACTTTTTAAGCACTTCATTTAATTTCTTCAACTCAAATTGCATCTGTTTCCTTATCTGCCACACCGTTTTCCTGGCTTCCTGCATCAATTTTCTACGCGCAAATCTTTTGGTGGCACTATCATAAAAAAAGAAAGATGCTACATCCTCCTAATAGAGCCCCCTACTCCACCCGCTAAGATATATGTGAAACAGTTCCACACTCCTCTCTTTTTCATCTTTAACCCCCTTAGTTTTACATCATTAGGGATAAAATTGAAGGAATAAAATTAAAGAATGAATCGTTTTTCGTTAAAAAATAAAATAATGCTACACTTATCATATTTATACATGTCAATACTATACCATATTATGTAATGAATCTCACACTAATGTATATGTCCAATGTAATGCTGACCTTTAGACTTTACATTTTTAATGTAACGTTGTAACACAGTGCACGGATGGATCCCGTAATTCACGTGCTGATTTTTCTATGGCAATTGCAGATATATAAAAAGCATATGACATACATATTGCAAAGAAAGAGAGCATTACGAAAGAGAGTGTTGGTCCGATTAGACTATCCAAACACATTCAGGAAATAATTCAGTCAAGTCTCCAGTAGAGCAGCACAGAAAATATTAATTGGATGTCTTGTGAATTTGAATAGAGAGCCGTCCTGATTCAGAGTCAACGTGAATAGGGAATGCTGTACGATGCATTTACAGGAGGAGCTTTAACCAATTACTTCTTTTACCGGCTTCATTATGATTCAGTTAATTTAATTGTCAGTGCCAGTGCACGCTGTACGATGCATTTACAGCAAGGGTTCGGACAGGGAAACTCACTATTCCGTAATGCTTTGTTTGAGGAATGATGAAAGAAGAGGATGTGTACGGAATGTGAGGATATATTGAGAATGTGAATTGTGTGAATTGAGATAAAGAAATAAAAATCAAATTACTAACGCTGTGTTTGGTTTGGAAATTTGGGAAGATAAATGGAAAGGGAAATGGAAATGAAAGGAAAAGGAGAAAGAATTAATAGAATTCCAAATCCCAACTATGTTTGGTTGTGTTGGTTATAAAATAGAATTGATGTCCTAAAAGGTCTCCTATTTCTTTATTTATTTCTCACCCCCTTTCTTTTCCCATATATTTTTTATTATAACCAAACATAAATAGGATTACATTTCTCATTCCTTTTCCAAATCCCATCCCAAAAACCCCAACCAAACACTTCTCACCCCCTTTCTTTTCCCATATATTTTTTATTATAACCAAACATAAATAGGATTACATTTCTCATTCTTTTTCCAAATCCCATCCCAAAAACCCCAACCAAACACAGCATAAATGTCTGGATTGAGAAAAGATGTATACAGAGATAATTTGATGTGTGGAAATAAAATTTCTCCATTTAATTAGCAAGTAGGATTACACTATTTTGCCCAATTTCTGCCATCCAAACAGGGGTGGAGGAATTGAAATTTTACCCTCTTTTAGAATTATTCTTTTGCCTTCACCTCTGTTCTCACATACCCAACCGCTCCTAGCTTTGCTTGCTTGACATGAGCTTGGTTCCCAATCATTTAACACAAATCCAAATCTAAATTTATTTAAAGTTTCCCACAACAAAGCTTAACATGTAACAAATCAAATTAAACACAACATTTCAGTAAGCAGAGCAGATAAAAACCATCTAACATTCCCACCCTGGAAACTTATTTGAATGTACAACTCACCAGTACTGGAACAACCAACCCTACCTTCAAAGACCACCCTGTCTGTGTTCTTCAGTTTCACATTCACCTGCCAACACTGCCTGCCTTACATTTTTAGATCACTTCTTTTGCCATACTCTTTGCTTCTTCAACACTGGTGCTATCTTCTTGCCCTCCACTTTCTCCCTTTCAAAAAATAAAAATAAATAAAATAAAAAAGTACTCCATCCATCAATCCATTAATAACAAAAACCCAAACTATAGGTCAATAAAAAGGTGAAAAAACTTGACAATTAAAATACTTGGAATTGAAATGTAAGAAGAAATAGTAGTACTATTCCAGACCAAAAATTAGATTCAATTTTCAAGCTGATATGACAATCAATTAAGATATAAAAAGTAACATTTTTTCTCATATTTTCTTTAATTATCAACCACTCACATCACTCATACATCATTTTTGAAAAAACAAATTATCATGTAGAACTGAACACAAAAAATCTAGGACGCAAAGCTTTTCCGATTTCACCGTAGTATTACTTTATGGTTGGGAAATTTCCAAGTCACACAACTAATAAAGTAAAACTACTATAAAATAGAAAAAGCTGCTTTTTTAAGTATGAAATTCCACCACATATAGGTTTGATTTCCAACTCGAGCTTGGTAGTGTATAAATTTTTTAATTTCCAAAGAAGTTTACCTAAGGGAAAGAAAAGAAAATTTGGAATTCCAAATTCCAAACTCCAAACACAAACCTCTCCACAAATGGCTGAGATCCAAACAAATTACATTAAAATTCACCCGAGTGGTACACTACATTGAAATTCTAAACAATTTCCATAATAAAATGAAAATTCAGTATAATAAAGCCTACTACTTTCTTAGTTTCTTCAGTGTTCTTCCTGCTAATCCATGTGCTAACATTTATAAAGAGGATTGATCAAATTTATATGCTCATATGAAAATTGCAAGATTACTCAACAACAACAATAGGTACAGATCCATTTGACCAATGGAATTATGATGAGTTAAACCGTCTAATACCAATAGTAGTATAATTGGTGGAAAATGTGGAGGATTAGCCTAATGAATGGTGATTGGTGAGAGAGTAGAATACTGTCATTCTCCGGATTATTTTCCGGATTATTGTATAATTTTTTGTGATTATTTAGTAGAGTACTCATCACTCATAGGTACACATATACTATTCAATGAATGTAAGTCCTTCAATAAGTTCCTAACACGTATTAGACTAAAGAGCACTCGGAAAAAACATCTCTAATATGGACATTTTTATTTTTATTTACTAAAGAGTAATGTTAGGCATCATGAAAAAAATATCATGAAAATGATCATGAAAGATTATCTACCTTTGGATTACACATACAATAAACAGAAAAGTTAGGGATCATGAAATTTTTTTCATGAAAATGATCATGAAAGATTTATAATGCTTAGGTTATCTTAATTAGTGTGTGGTGCTTTATTTTAATTATAATCTAAAGGTTACAAAACTTTTATGATTATTTTCATGAAAGATTTTTCATGACACCTAGCATTTCTGTACAATAAAACACCACACACTAATCAAAGGATGAAAAATCTTCATGATACGTTTCATGATATTTTTTTCATGATCCCTAACATTACTCTCTACTAAAATGTCACCAATTCAAATCCTATTGCTTTCATGTATGATAAAGAGTATTTGCATCAAAATTGACTTATACCTTTGATTGAGTTGATTTCCTGGCTTGTAATTCTCTCTCAGCCTCTGCCTTTTTCCTTGCTGTATACTCCTTGGCACTTTCTTCAGTTGCCACCACAGCATCCTTCGCAGCAGCCACTTTCTCACCGGTATATTCCACGGCACGCTGTCCGGCATGCGACACTACATCCTTGGCCGCAACCACCTTGTCCCCTGTGTACCCAGCCACTCCCTGAGCCATATTAGTCGCAGCCAGCGTCGCCTCCACTGTCTTCTTGCACGTATAATGCGCGGCCCCCCAACCCGCCACGGCCGCCTTGTCCTTCACATCAACAGCCACCTTCCCCGCATACCCTGCAGCACTCTTCCCCGTTTCCACCGCCGCATCTTTCACAGCCGCTGCCTTCTCCCCCGCATAACTCCCGACTTTCTTAGCAGTGTCCACCGTGACTTCTTTAGCCCCGGCCGCTTTCAGTGAAGCGTAATCTTTGGCCTGCTCTGCCGTTTGTGCAGTAGAGTCCTTGGCCTTGTCTGTCTTCTCTAGGACTGTGTCCTTCACAGCACTGCCCTTCTCTACCACGTACTGTGAAATTTTAGGATCCCCTTGTACAGCAGTGTCCTTTTCCTTGTTGTTGTTGGCCTCCATAGAATCCTCCATAGAATTCTGCTGTGCAGTTTGTCTGTAATTTGAAATATCTTCCTCTTTCCTATCCCTTATTTGCTTCTTCTCTCTCTCCTTTTCAGTTTCTTCGCCTTGTTTGCCTGCCATGTTTGTTCTTCTCTCTTGCTCAGAAGAACCACCCTTTTTTTCTTCCTCTTCTGCATGGACTTCGAATTCGCCTACTCCTCTCTGTTTCTCTGCTTCATATTGTTGTTCTTTTTTCTGAGGATGATGATCTTCACTGGAATCTGTGACACCTCCAGGGATGTCGGAGCCTCTAACTTTCTCAGCAAGAGACTCAAAATGGCTAGTTATCTTGGGGACTGTATCTTTTTGGACATGGATTTCGTCTCGCTCGCCTGAAACATTCTCTCTCATAACTTTCTCAGAAGCCATGGTCTTCTCAAAGAAAAAAGAAAAGAAAAGATTATGTGATGAGTCTATCTCTGTGTAGGTGTATGGTGTGTGTTAACTTGTGTTACTGTGTGCAATGAGAATGAGAAGAAGGGTGTGAAGGTTGTTTGAACAAGGCCAGTGCTTATAATAAAAGGAAAACCAGGCAGAGGGTTTGAAGCGATCGACGTGCAGTTGGGTGGTGGTGGTGGTGGTATGCGACGTGTTGTGGAGGTGGAGTATCATTCGCGATGACTCAGCTGTTACCTTTCTGGAGAGCTTCAATACACGTGGCACGTGGCACAAAAATTGGATGTCTCGACTTTGAGCAAGGATCCTCTAGAGTTTTTTTTCCCTAAAGTTTCTTAGAGTGGTGCATTATGTGGTTGAGATTTAATGACAAGTCACATCAATTTTTCAGCATTAAATCTCAACCACACAATATATCACTTTAGGAAACTTTATGAAAAAAACACTCTAGAGAATCCTTGGTGATAGTTCACATGCAAATCTCATTACCTAATAAATCACATGTTACAAATCACTCATATATTGTTTTTTTTTTTTTTAATTCAATTACGTAGTTAGATTCAAGTCTGATTATGTATAAGTAATTTAGACATCAGAGTTCACCCAGTAGAGTCCTACCTAATCAACAAGGTATACTTCATTCTATCAGTTACAAATGAACCTTTTAAGTATATAGCCACTAGCGTCACATTTGTTCTGTTAAGATTCCTTTTAGACTTCACACTACATTACAATTACCATTACACAATTATATTACTAGAAAAATCTGAATAATATTTCTGGAACAATACCATTTGTTATTTAAATTTGGTAACTAAAGCATCTCTAAGAGCATCTCTAGCAAATGCCTTAAAATAGCTTTTTGCTATTATAAGCGGTTGATTTTTTAAAAATCCAACCCCATTAAATAGGGAGTTACTGTAACTCCCTCATATCTGATAAATTCTTATTTTATTTCGTTGAGGGCGCGAACACAGCTACCCAGACAAGGGACTGGATGTCCAGGGGATTGTCCGGCTGAACGATCGGGCAGATGACCTCACCTTTGTTTAGAGAGAGCCTTTGTTCCAGTAAAGCCCATAGCCCATAGTAAGGACTGGACATGAACAACAAGGGTAGGAGACTCAAGAATTGAATTGAAGTAATAACGGATCGAATTGAGGCAAGGCTAGGGAGGGTTAAGAATGTTCTGAATTGAACACAATGGTGTTGTGGTTGTGGTGGTGGTGGTGGTGGTGGTGGTGAGAGAAAGAGTTGGGAAGTGTAACATTATGGGTCTTTTGTGGGGTGTTGTGGAGAAAGGGGTTTTGCTTGTTGATGGGTTATTGTTGGAATTGGGTTCATTCTCAAACTGGGTTTGCTTGGAATTTTAATGAGTTGGTTTGGATTGAATTGTTGAATGGTTTGGGGTTTGAATTTGGAGGTGTTTTTGGTGGATTGAGTTAAAATCAGAAGAGAGGAGACTGGTTTGTTTTCTGATCTCAAGTTCAGACAACGTCTGATGCATTTACATACAAAGAAAATGGATTTCTATTCTTCTTCCTCTACTCAATTTTCTGTGTATGTGTATTGTATACATAAATGTTGTGTATATAAAGGTTTGTGTGTGATTATGGTGTTTCTGGTATTTCTAGTATATACAGGTTTGGGTGTGATTATGGATTTCTATTCTTCTTCCTCTACTCAATTTTTTGGTATATTGTATACATAATGTTGTGTGTATAAATGAACACTTTCTCCTTCATTATTTTATTATTAAAATATTCAAATTTAAAGCAATTGAAAAGATTATTTTAATAGAATAGAGAAAGAATAGGGAGTTTAATGGGGATAGTAAATGAAAAAGTGATTCCTAAAATAGGGAATGAACTTTTTAATAATAATTTAGGATAAAATTTAAGTAAATTGTCGGGGATGCTGTTACAACTTTAATGGATAGGGTGGATTTGGAAAGCGACTTTTTAATTTTTCAGTATTATTATTTATGTTTAAAAATTAGATTTTTTTTTTAAATTTAATGATATAGCATTTTATTAAAATATCTAAATCAATTTTCTTTTTCATCTACTGTTTAATCATCAATCAATCATTTTGTTTATACATTATTGGGGCATAAAAATTGGATTTAATTAACCAACTACGCCTAACTTAATTGACTATCCTGCCTTAGCTTAGTCCTTAAGGAAGTCGTCATATGTTCAATTTCCCTTAGAAGAGTTGAATTAAGAGAGTGCAATCATTTAAGTGATTTGCCAAGGGTGCGAGGTTTTGTGCCATAGGTGTTAACAACTAACAACTAACAACTAACATTTACCAATAAAAAAAAAATTTAAAAACTAATATTTACCAATAAAAAAAAATAGAAAGTGGGTATAAAAAATAGATTTGTATATCATTTTCCTTAACTTTTTAGATAAAATATAAGGTGAAAAATATTGAAGTGTTTACATATGATTTTTTTTAATTTTTTACTAAAAAATGTGCAAAAATAAAAATAAAAAAATTGACAAAATCTTTATATTTTTCTATTTGACATTTTAACTTTGTAAATATATATATATACTTGTCAAATATCCCCTAGATTAACATTTCCAAATTTTCCATATATAAAAATAAGAAATATTTACCAATAAATCTTATCTCAGAAACAGTTATACCAATCAGTCTCCACTTTATACTTTTGTTCCGTTTAGTCCTGTTGGTGGGAGGGAGATTTGTTCCTTTGTGATCCTATTTTCCTTGTTTGGTGTTACTGAGTACACAGTTGTACTCTTTTGTTTGATTTGAACGAGTTTTGAGGGATCACTTCATTTTTGGGTACGTTGGAGATTACTTTTGGGTAATTTGAATGGTACCTTCACATACGTTTCTTCCGTTATAGCTAGGGTTTTGTGTAGTGTGAGTAGGGTGTTGTGTGGCGGCTGTGTGATGAACTCACACATATAGCTTTTTCGGCGTTGGAACACTGTTGTTATGCTGGTAAGTCTTCTTTTTTGGGTGTGTATACTATTGATCTGTATCCCGTTTGTTTCACATTGAACTTTATCTGCGTTAGATTTGTTTCACATAGTTGGGGTTTTGTATGTATTGGTGGAAGATGGTTATGTACGTTGTGTGGGATGGTGGTGATATGTGGTGGATTTTTGGGGTTGTGTTTTGTTTTGCATTGTGAATGATATATGTCATTTTACTTTTTTTTTTTAGGGTCCTAATGAATCACATGTTAACGGAGTGAGTGAAAGCCTAGTGAATAACATTAAAGTAAAGAGGTTATATAAATGAGTTCTAATACTGAAATAAAATCATTCTCAATTAACTTCGTATCATAATGGAACGACCTCGGCTCCAATACATGACGAAAAGACTTTGGGTCCAACATATAAAAGATATAGAGCAGAACAGATCATACTTGTTGGAACGACCTCGGGTCTATTCAGTTACAGCTGTATAATGACCATTGGGTCAACACATAATAGATATCCAAACTTATCAGATGTGCAAAGAATCAGATAATCGAAACGACCTTGAGTCCATCTTATCAGATATACAAAATGACCTTGGACCCATTTCAGTTGTACAGAATGACCTTAAGTCTATCATATGTTTTCGTGCTTGCTAATGATATAGCGACCCCGGTTTTTTCCCATTTGATTATTGTATCCGGACTTAGGTTCCGTAGATTCTGTCATTTGTATAATTGTTGTTGTTGTCCCTTATTTTCTTATTTGGAGTTATAGGATATGTTGGGCAGGTTTGTTTCAGGTTGGTTGGGTTTAGAAACCTAGTGTTACTGTCCAGAATTTTGGTTCTTCGCTCGAGCGAGTGGTTGGTCGCTCGAGCGAGATGTTGTTTTTGGTTCTTCGCTCGAGCTGGGTTTTGGTCGCTCGAGCGAGAGGCTGCGTCCAGTATGGACCTGTGGCATTGCATTCTTGGCTCGAGCGAGATTTTCTTTGCTCGAGCGAGGTTTTCTTGTGTCTGGTCGCTCGAGCGACCATGTCTTCGCTCGAGCGAGCCTGTCCAGTTTATATACGCAGCAGCGGGATTTGATCAGTCTTTTTCATCTTCTTTTTGATTCCAAACCCTAGGTCCGACTTCTCTCTCTCCCTACTCACCTTCTCTCTTAGATTTGATCCACTTAGGGTGTGTTTCTACCCTAAATCCTTCATTAAAAAGGTAGAGTGAGTCGAGGGCTTCCATTTAATCTGAACATTTGGCAATTTGGAGCACTTTGGTATTTGGGTATTCATCTCTGTCTTCTCCATTTGGGTTGTTTCTCTTCGAGGTAGGGATTTCCTACTCCATTTTATAGGTTTTGTTCTAAGTTTTGGTATATTGATATGTTGGGGTTACTTTAATAATTTTGGGAAAAACCCTAGTTGAATTAATAAATTAATTTGTATATTTAATTCATGAAAATGGGGAATTCATTGACTAAATGGCGTAGTTGGTTAATTTAAATCACTCGTCTATTGAATTGTTGGTAAATTTATTTCCAAGTCTAGAAATAACTGTTTTGGGCTATCGGTGGAGGATAGTCGTGCTTGTTGTAGACTCTGCATGTGGATTAGGGATAACTGAAACTAATCATTGATTAAGTCATCAATCTTGACTGCTGAATTAATACAGACATTATGTGTGTTGATTGTGTGTTGTATATGTTATGTGTTGCATACATTGTTTTGTGTGGGAGGAGATAGGGGATGGACTCCATTAGCATCACTTTTATGTGTGCTTATCTATATTGAAGTGTTTTTATTGATACAGCACTAAAATGTGTATCAAACTGGAAGTATGAAGTATTTTGATTTGAGCCTGAGTCTCATTTGTTTGTTGACATTGGAAGAGTGTGAATTTGATATAGATATGGTTCACTGTTGTAAGTTTGGCCAGGTTCTGAGCCATATTGATAATGTTGGAAAGTAAAACGTATCTTAGACATTAATATCATGAAACTGTATAGAGATATAACTGATTATCTTGGTTAACCAAATATTGAATGCTATTGCTTTATTCGATGCTTATATTTGGTTTAGTATATTTCTGCTGGGCTGTGGCTCACCCTTTATGGGAACATCATTTTCAGGTTCAGGTGATAAGCTACCTCCAAGGACTTAGCTTGGGAGGGTTTGGGCTTTTGGATTTTGAAGAAGATTATCTTTAGTTAATTGTCTTTATTTATTAGTACATGTAAACATTCAAGCCTAGGGCTTTTCTAGTATTGAGTTAGAACTCATATTTT